GGCCTCTCTCTCTGTTGCTCTGCCTTTTAAAGAAATCTTTTAAAAAGATTTATTCATCTGTTTGTTTGGAAGGGTGACAGAGAAGGAGAGACGGAGAAAGAGAGATCTTCCCTCTGCTGGCTCACTCCCCAAATGCCTGCAACAGCCAGGCCTGGGCCAGGCCAAAGCCAGGAGCCGGGAGCTCCATCCAGGTGTCCCAGATGGGAGGCAGCGACCCGGGTACTTGGCTCATCATCTGCTGCCTTATGGGCACATTAGCAGAAAGCTGGCTGAGAAACAGAGGAGCCAGGCCTCCAACTGGCACTTTGATATGATACAGATATCCCAGGTGGCAACTTGACCCAAGCACCACCATGCCAGCCCCCACGTATTCTGTCTGCTGGGGAGACTGGCCTTTGGGTACGTTGCCGCTGGGAATGTAAATGGGTATAACATTTGGAGAGAGTAATTTGATAGCTTCTGTTAAACCTTTTTAAACTCACAGGCCTCCACCCTGCAATTCTACTTCTGCATGTCTGTCTTAGAGAACTATTCCTAAGTGTGTATTTAACCCTGAAACACTTGATTTGTTACACTAATAAGGTGGTCAAACATACCTATAGGCAACATTTTCCCAAAATCCTGTGTCAGTCTGAGCTTAAAGAATACTACCTTTATTAAACAACCATTAACAGATTTGTCATCCTTCCGAGAAAGTCAGACATACTCCCCTGCTGTTTTAGAAATGGATGTTACATAAGCTTTAGAACAGCAGATTGTAAAATTGAAAATAAAAATATCCTGGAAACAGCATTGCTTAACTATCTCCTCTTAGAGACGAGAACACGTTAGGCCCACTGAGGTAAAGTAAGCACCCTATTACCTAGTCAGAAAACGTTAGACCCCCAGTGCTGTTGGTGCTAATTGTGACTTCAAGTTCTTCACACTCGGTGTGTTCTTACACTGGCCCCCACTGCATTCTTTCCTATTTTCTTTGAAACACACACACACACACAAGATTTATTTGTTTGAAATGCAGAGTTAAAGAGAGAGGAGAAAGATCTTCCATCCACTGATTCACACCCCAAATGACTGCAACAGCCAGGCCTGGGTTAGGTGGAAGCCAAGAGCCTGGAATTTTATCCAGATCTCCCATTCGGGTGCAGGGGCCCAAGCACTTGGGCCATCTTCTGCTGCTCTCCCAGGTGCATTAGCAGGGAGCTGGATTGGAAGTGGAGCAGCTGGCACATGGGATGCTGGCATCCCAGGCAGTAGCTTAACCAGGTGCACCACGACATCGGCCCTCTTCTTTCTTATTTTCAGTGTGGCAGGCATAGGTGGTTGTCTTCCCAAAGCCATTGTTTATTTTCTCCTTCCTAACAGTTAACAATATGGAGCTGGCTTGGTTCTCTGCAGCCAGGCCTCCTCTGGCTGGGGAGACATCTCTGGAAGCCTGTGGGGTCGGGGCTTTCAGGAAAGCTGCTGTGTTTCTGATTCAGGAGGGAAGATGGCCGGCATGCAGTGCCCCGCCCTCCTGCGTGCGTGTCCATGCAGTGAGCCCATGCTGTAGGGCGCGTCAGGCCCTTGGGTCCCTGTGATGAGAAAATCGCAGGGGAGGCATGCGGGCGCCTGGGACAGTGGGGACACGGCAGCCGCCCGTGCCGGCCTTGGACTGGCTACCTGTTGGCACCGTTTGCTATGCCTGAAATACACGCTCCTCTCTGGTGAAGCCACGGTTGTGCCATGTTCATTTAGAGCAGTGACTGCGAGGTACGAACTCTGCCGCGGCTAAGTCCAGGCTGCCTTCCTCATGCCGTGCCAGCAGAGGGTGGGACCTTCATCCCACATGAGCCACTTCCGTCTCCTTCTGTCACCTTCACTCAGCCTCCTTGCCTCTTCCAACCCCTCTCTGAGCCCTAAAAGCATCTTTTATCTTTGCCATCAATTTTCACTCCCTTACAAAAATGCCATTCTTTTGCTTCACTTTACATCTAAAAGTCTTAGGATAATAGATTCCCAAGCCTGCACTCCCTAATGTTAAAAACCAATCAAGCAATTTTCTGTTTCAAAATAGCTGGCACAGAGGATTTTGAGTAGTCCCCACACAAAGAAATGGTAAGTTTTTGAGGTGATGGATATGCCACTTACCTGGATCTTATCATTACGCATTGTATACATGCATTGAAGTACCACACTGCACTCCATAAATACGGACAATCATGTCACTTAGAAGGAGAAATGGGTACCAGCATTGTGGAGCAGCAGGCTAAGCCGCTGCTTCTGTCGCCAGCATCACACATCAGAGCACTCGTCCCAGCCCCGTCTGCTCTGCTTCCGATCCATGTCGTCCCTGATTATGTGCCTGGAAGCCAGCAGGAGATGGCCCCAATACTTGGACCCTGCCACTCAGGTGGGAGAGCAGGATGGAGCTCCTGGCTTTGGCCTGGTCCAGCCCCAGCTGTTGTGGCCATTTGAGGAGTGAACCAGTGGATGGAAGATCTGTGTGTGTGCATGTGTGTGCGTGTGTGTGTGTGTGTTAGGGGGAGGGATGGGGGTGTGTGTGTCTCCCTCTCTCCCTGTCTCTCTGCTTGACTTACACCAATGGACTTTGCTGAAAGGGGCAGTATGACAGTAGCAGGTTTGGTTGGGAGGGAGAAATTATGGCTGTGGCTTTGGCTTTGGATGTATGGAGTCTGAAGTTCCAGGGGAAGTTGGAGAGCATTTAGGAGGCGATTTAAAATGTTGATCTGAAGTTCAGGGCAAAACAGTTACAACTGGAGGATACACACGCAGGTCTGGGGAAAGTTGGCAAATGTAAGGCACAGCCGCATCTGCTGTGATCACTGCACACGCTTCTAAGGATGAGCATGTTGGGGTGGACACCTGGCCTAGCCACTTGCGATGGCCCTGTCCCGTACTGGAGAGCCTGGGATTGAGCTGCTTCCAATTCCAGCTTCCTGCTAATGCTCACCCTGGGAGGCGGCAGGGGACAGCTCCAGTAGTTTGATCCCTCCCACCCATGTGGGAGCCCTGGATTGAGTTCCCAGATCATGGCTTCGGCCTGGCCTAACTCTGATTGTTGTGGACATTTCGAGAGTGATCTGACACATGGGAGCTCTGTCTGTCTCATCTGTGAAATACATAAATAAAAATTTAAAAATAAATACAAATTTTTAAAAATCAATCTGTTGTACAACATTGACTAATAAAAGCCATAGAGCTGCAGAGATAAAAGGGCACATCACTCACAAACTTCATCAGTGACACCAAAATACATAAATAATGCAATGAACATGGCACTTTGAAAGACCTGAAGTTCAGCTGCGGAAGTGGCTGTCAGAAGAGCTGCAGCCTGTGGATTAAAGTGGCAGAAATTTTAACAGCACGTGTAGACAGATGCAGTCCGTAATACACCGTGAGCTGAGGTAGCAGGTGGATGTTTGAGAGCTGTCTGTGCCTGTGTGTGTGTGTGTGTGTTGTGTATTCCTAAACCAGATGTAGTTTTCTGCATTTACCTTGTGTTTCTTGAAGAACAAATATGTGTACAAGTAATCTTGAAATTTGCAATATGCTAAAAATTTTCCTTAATATATCGATAGGATTGGGGCAAATGTGAATCTTCAGGATGAAGATTGTAGTTGAATGGACTGTGCCTTGGAATATCCTGGTTTTACCCACAACAGGCATTCGGTCCCTAATTTCCATGAACTACCCCCATCCACATGGTTCCTCCCCATCCCCACCACTGTCACTGTGGTCCAGGGGCTCTTCAATTCCCAACGTGCTCTCCCCACTTCAGTGCCCCGCCTTACCCCACTGGTCAAGAGCTTGGAGCTGCCACCCCCACAGCTGTGTCCCCAGGCCAGCACCAACCAGAAGGCTTGTGTTACTGATCAGGCTGTGAGCCATGGTTGCTGGGTCATTTGCTCTTTGTAGGATAGGCACGTGCAGCCTTCTTGTCATGAGGATTAGAGGAGGGACTCAATGGAAGTTCCCTGCATGGCTTCCAGCACTTAATAGACGTTCGACAAAGGAAATAACATTGCTTAACTATCTCCTCTTGTAGATGAGAACATATTGGGCCCACTGTGGTAAAGGAACTCCCCTAGTTACCTAATTAGAAAATGAAAAAAATGGGGCCTGGAGTTGTGGCACAGCAGGGATGCCATGTGGGTGGTGAGTCCCCGGCTGCTCCACTTCTGATCCAGCAACCTGCTAATGTGCCTGGGAAAGCAGTGGAGGATGGCCCAAGTGCTTGGGCACCTGCACTCACAGGAGAGACCCGCTGAAGGCCCGGGCTCCTGGCTTTGCATTGGCCATTTGAGGAGGGAACCAGGGGGTGGAAGATCTCTCTGTCTCTCTCCTCCTCTCTGTAACTCCACCTTTCAAATAAATAAAAAATAAATCTTTTAAGAAAAAAATGATAGACCGCAGTACCATTGGTGCTGATTGTGACCTCACATTCTTCACACCCAGTGTCCTCACACTGGCCCCCACTTCATTCTCTCATATTTTCTTTATTTTTACTATATATTTTTAAAAGGGAAGTCCTTGTTCTCTTTTCATATTTCTCAACTTAAAAATATGAGTTCAAAAGAATTAAAGTATGCAGAATGACCCTACGCTTCTATAGAATAAGCCAAGCCACTCAAGAAGGGCTTATCCGACCCTCTCAAAAGAGATCTGGCATGCTCTTCAGCCTCACCGTCGTTATCCCCAGCCTGACTCCAAGTCAGCTCCTTCTTGAAAGTTTCCCACCCACGGCCTCCTCTCCCTTACCCTGGGCGGGCCGGGGAGGGACAGCAGCCTCTGCTTCTCCCCCTGAACTCCACTGCGGCACTGTCCCTACTCCTCTGATGCAGCATCTCCCCAGCCCCTGTAGTGGACACCGTAGCCACACCCACCACAGCCACACCCACCATAGCCACGCCCAACCCACCATAGCCACACCCACCGAATGACCTCCCTGCTTTGCTAAGAGAGCTCCGTTTCTTCAGTCGTCCTTTCCTCCCTAGTGAGACTCAGAGATGGTGGCCCATTTCCAACTGGTCTGAGCCAGTTTTGACTGGTCTGAGCCAATCAAGATTTTCTCTTTCCCCTTGCCAGTCATGAATTTCAGAATGAGTACATGACCCAAGTTTGGGAAATGATAGATGAAAGTACATCTGCTGGGGCTCTTCTGAGGAAGGAATGTTTCCTTCTCTTCCCTTGGATGTTGTGATATCTGACGTGAGGACTGGAACTGCTGCAGCCATCTTACCTCTAGCCTGAATCAGATGTTAATATTCACAGTGCAGAGCAAATCCAGCAATATTACAGGGAAGAGAAAATGAATTTTGTGTAATGTATGTGACTCCTTCCCTACCTCTGGACTAGTTGATGTTTGAAAGAAATATCTTGTTGTTGAAGTTATTGAGCTAGGTTTTCTGTCATCTGCAAAGGATATATATATATATAATAATATAGATTATATATATATGTAATATATGAGTCTTACTCTCTGGTAATATTGGTAAACCCACAGGACTTCAATTTTACATCTCTAGCAGCAGGAAGTACACTGCACACTCTAGGTGCTTAGCAAATATCTGTTGGGTGGGTGGATGGATAGATGGATCTCTTGGCATCCTACTAATTATGTTTTTCAATATCTCCTTCTTTCTCAGATATCCTGATAACCATGGCATCTTAGCATTAGATAACAGGTCAAGGGGAGTCAAGGTGTCTAAACAAGAAGTCCAGAGACCCATAGAATAGAAAAGCAGCCAAGAATGGTATTCTGGAAGTCCCTCGAGGTAACAAGGGGGGAAAATGAGTTTCCTGGGGCCTTGGCTGTAAGGATGGGGAGTAGTGGCTGTTTATCTTGGCTACTCACAGGGAAGACACAACCACAGTATCTTACCACTACTACTTGAATTTTTCCCCTCCCAAACTCAGGTGCTGGGGTGGGCACTTGGCCTGGCAGCTAAGACACTAGTTAAGATGCTCACATTCCATACTGAAATGCGGGCTTCAGTGCCTGCCCATGACTTCTAACTCCAGCTTCCTGCCAAGGCAGACCCTGGGAGGCAGCAGTGATGGCTCAAGTAGTTAAGTTCCCGACACCCCTGTGGGACACCTGGATGGAGTTCCCGGCTCTCAGATTCGACCTGGCCCAGCCCTGGCTGTTGCAGGCATTTGGGGGAGGGGAGGGTGGTGAACTGTGCTTAGGAAGTCTCTTTCTGTCTCTCCCCTTGTCTCTCTGTCTCTCAATAAATATGAACAGATCAAAGTTCAGGCTTTGGAGATGTGATGGTGTTAACAGGTGGAACCTTGGAGAGCCGATTATGCCTCGAGGGCTCCTCCCTCACGGGTGGGATGGGATTAAGGTGCTCATAAAAGAGGCTCTGTGCAGCACTGGCAGCGTGCCCTTCTGCCAGGTGAGGGTATGGTGGCCCTCTGCTCCAGAGAAGGCAGCCCTCACCAGACGACCAGCCCCACCTCGAACTGTGAGCCTGCGTTTCTATTCTCGATACATTAATTAGTCTAGGGCATCCTATGACAGCAGCACAGGAGCTTCTGAAATACTTTCTTTTTCCATCCTAATTTTTAACACTGGGGCCAGTGTTTTGGCACAGCAGATTAAGCTGCTACTTACAAGGCAAGCATCCTGTATCTTTTTTTTAAGGTTTATTTATTTATTTATTTATTTGCAAGGAAGAATGGCAGAGAAAGAGAGACAGAGACTAAGAGATCTGCCATCCACTGGTTCACTCCCCAAACGGCCTTGAGGGCTGTGGCTGGTCCAAGACGAAGCCAGGAGCCCAGAATCCCATCATGGTCTCCCACAAGGGTGGCAGAGCCCAAGCACGTGAGCCGACTTCTGCCGCTTCCCCAAGCGCATTAGCAGGAATTTGGATCAGAAGCAGAGCAGCCAGGACCTGAACTGGAGCTCGGATACGGGGTACCGGCAATGAGCTTAACCACTGCAGCACAACACCAGCCCCCAAGACACTTACTTCTATAACATCATCTTGACTACGTGCCAGGCCTCCCTCAATTTGCCCGCTTCATTCTCATTTAATCCTCGCCACCCAGTCACTTCCACTTATCTACCAAGTGAGGAAATCAGCGCGGGGGCTCAGGTCATTTCCCGGCAGCCAGGAAGTGGTAGACCTAACCCCCAGGCAGGTACCTGCCACTCAGAGAACAGGGCAGAGCTGCCCGTCAGCTCTCTTCCTCACATACGCATCAGCTAGAAGGTGCTTCTGCTTTTTAAAAATCTATCTTATTATTATTTTTTTGAGGAACATGAACTCTTACCCACTGGTTCATTCTCCAGAATGCCCACAGCAGGTAAGACCGGGCTGAGGAGGAAGCTGGGAGCCAGACACACAGTCCAGGTCTCTCACGTAGGCGGCAGGGACTCAATTACTTGAGCCATCACAGCTGCCTGCCAGGTCCACGTTAGCAGAAAATTGGAACCAGGAGCTTGAGCCGAGAGTCAATCCCAGGTACTCTAATATGGAACTCTAGGCTAAACCTTTGCTCCTCTTTTATTATTGTTATTTTTTACTTAGAGTTTATTGAATGGCTAGTAATGTTTGACTCTGTGTAGCTCAGTTTGCTGATTCTTGAGCCCCTTGTGTTATCTACAGAGAACATGGTGCTATGGTTTGGATCTGGGTTGCAGGTGTTCCCCAAACCTCCTTGTGCTGCAAGCTTGGTCCTCGGTGTGGTGATGTGGAGGTGATTGGACCTTTAAGAGGTCAGACCTAGCAGAGGGTTGTTAGGTCATGGGGACACTGCCCTCAGAAGGGGTTGGTGCTGGTCTGGCAGAGTGAATCAGTTCTCAGAGGATCAGTTGTAAAGCAAGCCTCCCCCGGATCCCACCCCCTCCGCCACCACTGCCCTGCTCCGCATCCCTTCTGCTGTGCCAGCACTCTGTTTCTTCATCGCATTGCAGTGCTGTCAGAAGTTCTCTCAGCAGAACCAAGCAGGTGCTGGCCACATGCGCTTAGGCCTGCAGCGAAACAAACCTCTTTTGGTATAAAGTACCCTCCCTAAAGTTCCTTGTTGCAGTCCAGAAAATGGACCAAGACAAGTGACAGAGTCCAGCATGAACTCCGGTCCACTTAACCCAGGGTTCTTCCCAACATCCTGCGGTTGCTTGCATTCGCAACCCTTGACAGAGCCTGAAAAGGAAAAGCTGCACACAGGGAGGTACCCGTGCACTTCATCCAGGTAGCAAGGTGGATCTATCACTACAGAATTAGTAGAACAGTGACCTGCACTCCCAGCCTTCTGAAAGGCCAACCAACTAGCCACCCAGGGGCCTGAAACCAAGGTCACATTTTCCCTGAAGAGAGTAGTGTTCTGCACACCAGTGCTGAAGACACGTCACAATCTCTGATCTGGGCCATGGCTATAGACATTCTCCCTTGAGCTACTGAGCGCTTAACAACTGGCTTGCAGGGGCAAGCCGGCTCCAGCGCAGCTCTGCTGTAGGGCAGCCCTGGGCCTGCTCCAGAGGAGAAACCAGCATGGGAAGGACTCCAACGCCTCCATCTACGCGGGTGCTCCCGGCCAAAGATCGTGGAGCGCGACCTCTGGCAATCTCTGCCCACTTCCGAGCAGCGCTGGACGCTGGTCTTCAACTTCTAAATAGCCTCCACCTAACTGGTAATTCTCCATTGCCCCTTGCCAGATAGAAGGCTTATTTTTGTCTCTCGCCCAGATGCTATGTAATGTAACTGTTCCCCCTCACCCACTCTTGCCCCTGAGGTCATGTCATCTTCATCCTGTGCCCAGAGTCATCCTTAGAAAATGTAAATGTGATTGTATTGCCCTTCAAGAGCCCTTCAAAGGCTCTGCAGAGCTGTGGATGCAGCCAGTCCTCAGTACCATGGACACAGCCTGGCTTCCTGTGCTTCAGCCGACTGGTCTGCTTCAGTTCCCGCGTGAGGTGTGCTCTCTCATGCCCAGGATCTTCCTGTGTGTGATCGCCCTTACGGACCACTCTTCTCTGTCCCTCTTTTTTTTTTTTTTTTTTTTTTTTTTGACAGGCAGAGTGGACAGTGAGAGAGAGAGACAGAGAGAAAGGTCTTCCTTTGCTGTTGGTTCACCCTCCAATGGTTGCCGCGGCTGGCGCACTGTGGCCAGCGCACCGCTCTGATCTGAAGCCAGAAGCCAGGTGCTTCCCCTGGTCTTTCATGCGGGTGCAGGGCCCAAGCACTTGGGCCATCCTCCACTGCACTCCCAGGCCACAGCAGAGAGCTGGCCTGGAAGAGGAGCAACCGGGACAGAATCTGGCGCCCCGGCCGGAACTAGAACCCTGGGTGCCGGTGCTGCAGGTGAATAATTAGCCTATTGAGCCGCAGCACCAGCCTCTTCAATTTGTTAATGTGATATATCACATTGATTCATTTGCAAATGTTGAAACCATCCCTGCATACCAGGAATAAATCCTACTTGGTGTATGTGATTGATCTTTCTGATGTGTTGTTGGATTCCATTGGTTAGTATTTTGTTGATTTTGTGTGTGTGTGTGTATCTTCATCAGGGAAATTGACCTGTAGTTCTCTTTCTCTGTTGTATCTTTTTCAGGTTTAAGAATTAAGGTGATGCTAGCTTCAGAGAAGGAATTTGGGAAGATTCCCTCCCTTTCAATTGTTTTGAATAGCTTGAGAAGAACTGGAGTTAGTTCTTTAAATGTCTGGAAGAATTCAGCACTGAAGCCATCTGGTCCTTTTGGGACGGTCTTTATTTCTGATTCAATTTCCATCTTGGTTATTGATCTGTTTAGGTTTTCTATGTCTTCATGGCTCAATTTTGGTAGGTTGTATGTGTCCAGCAGTATATCCATTTCTTCTAGTTTTCCTAATTTGTTGGCATACAGCTCTTTGTAGTAATTCCTGATGATTCTTTTTATTTCTTTGGTCCCTGCTGTTATACTTCCTTTTTCATCTCTAATCTTATTGACTTTTTTATTTCTCTTTTGAATTCTTCTGTGATCCATTGTTGATTCAGGAGCATGTTGTTCAGCCTCCATGTGTTTGCAGATGTTGTAAAGATTCTTGAGTTGTTAATTTCCAGCTTCATTCCATTGTGATCAGAGAAGATGTGTGATATGATTCTGATTTTTTTGAATTCACTGAGATTTGCTTTATTGCCTAGCCTGGGGTCTATCCTAGAGAAAGTTTCATGAGCTGGTGAGAAGAATGTGTATTCTGCAACTGTAGAATGAAAAGTTCTATAGCTATCTGTTAGGTCCATTTGGTCTATAGTGTCGATTAACTGTTGTTTCCTTGCTGATTTTCTGTCTTGTTGATCTGTCCTTTGCTGAAAGTGGGTACTGAAGTCCCCCATTACAATAGTATTGGAGTCTATGTCTCCCTTTAGATCCATTAACATCTGTTTTAAATAGCCAGGTGCCCTGTAATTGGATGTCATTGCGTATTTTTAGTAACATTGCCACCAAGTGACACATTCACTTATATTTTCTGGTAGCATCTTTCTGACATCGGTCATTCTCCTTTTTCATTAACTCAATTTCCCAGGAGAAAATCATCCCTTGGGCTGTCATTCCAGTGTCAGAATGCAGAGTATTGGCAACCTTTGAGATGAAGAAATGGAAGGGTTTTAAGAATCAGTAAAATCTGTCTGCACTCTGCCTCATGCTGAGAAATGTAGGGGTAATTTATTATCAAAGGTCAGAGACACAGTTTCTTTCACCTTTTCAGCAGAAGAAATTACTGTTGGCTTAAAGAATGTGCTCAGGTAATTTCCATCAGTAAACAAATGGAGTCAGAAAGTG